GTATAATACACACACACACACTTTATCAATCATCTATGTTAGACCTAGTTACATCTTAACCTGGCAAAATATAATAATATTTATATTCCTCTTTATCTCCCAACTCAGAGCAGATAATAATAATAATGTAACCCTTTATTTATATTCCACTCTATCTCCCAACTCATACACAGAACAAAGATAAAGGCTTCCCCTTTCACCTCCCGCTTATGCACACTCAAATACACACACACATAGGATATTATGTATGTATCCTATAGATGAGCTATATCTAGGGTTGAGAATTAGTGATGTTTTGAGCTATTTATCATCTATCTCAATTCCAGTTATAGCTCTGCTCTACTTGTTATCTGTCTCCCAACTCAGTCCTGGTTAAATATGTACATATATTTAAAAACTCTAAAAGTCATATCTATATATACACCCTGGCTGTCTATCTATCCATCCACCGATCTATCTGTCTATCTCAATATTCAACCTTGGTTAGATATATTGATTTAAACCCCCAAGTGGCCATTGTTTCTCAAAGCCTATTTGAATTTCCTATAAGACGTGCATTTCGAGGAGTTTGCAAACTCAACCTTAATCCCAATTTCAAAGTAATGTCAAGTGTATTTAGTCTCTGCAATAAAAACAGTTTTTAAAAGGGAAAGTCTTTTTTTTATTTCAGAGAGATTCCTAGAATTCAATCTCAGAGTTATATTGTTTACTTGGAAGGGAAATCTATAGATTTTAGAACGTATAAAGGTAGAAGAGAAAAGCTATATTTCCTAGCCATATTCTATTTTGAAAATAAAATAAGAGAGATGGCTAAAATATAGGAAAATTTGAGGTTTTTTGGGGGGAAATAGTAGTGTAAGGATCAGGCCCCTATATGTTCCTGCTTTGAAAGCAATAGGGTTTTCCTTTGAGTCAGCGTGCCCAGAAATAGCCTGAATTTTGGGTTGGAAACCAAATTGGAAAGACCTAAGCAATTGTAATATTTCCTGGTGAAATATTTTAAAAAGAACACAGGGTGCATCTACACCAGGCATGGGTGAACTTGGGCCTTCCCGGTGTTTTGGACTTCAACTCCCACAATTCCTAACAGCCAGTAGGCTGTCAGGAATTGTGGGAGTTGAAGTCCAAAACACCTGGAGAGCCCAAGTTTGCCCACACCTGGTCTACACTGTAGAATTAATGCAGTTTGAAACCCATAAACGACCATAGGACACTGCTATGGGATCCTGTGAGTTGTAGTTTTCCAAGGTACTTTGGCTTGTCAGGCCACAAGAAGGGGAAGTGGGTCCTCGCAAAACCTGGGGGTACTTTCAATTAGGATTTTTTTTGGGGAAAGGGAATGGGAGTCAGAATTGGGAATATGTATTATTTTTTGGGACTACAACTCCCAGTATCCCCCAGACAAATGAGGGCAGGGGCCACTGACCAAACTGGCTGAAAGAGCCAAGTAATTACAAGGTTTTACTAAGCTCTGAGCCCCCTTGACACAGCTTAATAAAATCCCACATTTTGACCTGGAATATATGGCAGTGTGGACTCAGATAACCCAGTTCAAAGCAGATATTGTGGGATTTTCTCCCTTGATGTTCTGGGTTATATGGCTGTGTGGAAGGGCCCTGAGTTTGAGTCACTTTTATCATTCTCAGTTTTTAAAAAGTTGGGTGGATCTACTGAAAACAGGTATTTGAAAGAAAGGACAACAACTCCCAGCATCCCACAAGCATCCACTTCTAGTCCAGAGTCTTGAAAAAAAATCTGTCATTTTTACATAGATATGAAAATCACTTTGTCCCCATACAATGATAGCAGTTTCTTGGGGTGTTTAAAAGTTAGAGAACTCAAGTCCCCTTAAATCTACACATGTTATTATATGTTAATATGGGATCGCACTGATATAAGTGTAAAAGAGACCTCAGATGAAAGGAAAGCCTCTCTGAAGCAGACAGAGTCTGTAGTCCCCTCCTTTGGGAAAGTTAGGTTGCCAACTGATCAGAAAGAATAGTGACCCGGAGTGCTCTTCTGCCTTCAACCAGATCGGTTGAGATTGGCAAATGGAGTTTTCTTCCTTACAAATTGGGCAATATGTCCCAAGAATGCCTTCTTGCAAAGATCTTACAGAATACATTGCTGGTAAAAAAGCACAGCTACCTGATCTAGATGAAAAGTTGGCATGACTACTAAAAGGGAGATGTTCATTCCAGTCCTAACTTCCAAATGTTTACGATTCTGCTTCAAACCTATGGTACAAAGAAGCCTTAAAACTTCCAAGAACATATGAGGATTATATCCTCAAGTAAATGTATTCTTAAAGAGGTGTAGGAATTGGAAAAGCTTATTTCAGCAGCAGTTATGTCTGGGTGAGGTTGCAATTCTGAACGAAATCGGACCCATTAAATTGAATGGATTATGTGCTGTCAAAGGCTTCCATGGCCGGAGTCAATGGGTTGCTGTGAGTTTTTCCTGGACCTTCAACAGATATATAAACCTCCCTTGTCTAGTTCCCAATAGACCTTGCAACTTCTGCCTGCCATAGATGTGGGTGAAACACCAGGAGAGAATGCTTCTGGAACATAGCCATACAGCCCAGAAAACTCACAGCAACCCACTGAATGGGTTATGTTTCTGTGTCAAACATAATAGGACCAAAGGTTTAAATTCCAAGCAAAGTTCTAAGCATACCTAGTGTGAAGGAAGTCCCATTGAAGTAGATTAGTCTTAACTATCAAATATTCGAAGTGTGCTTTGAAATGGGTTGTTGTAGGTTTTTTTCGGGCTATATGGCCATGTTCTAGAGGCATTCTCTCCTGATGTTTCACCTGCATCTATGGCAAGCATCCTCAGAGGTAGTGAGGTCTGTTGGAACTAGGAAAATGTGCTTTGAAATGTTTGGCTTGCCGCATGAATATATTCCATCGGACTATTCCAGGGAGATTGAAATAATGTCTTTCCCCATTGAAGTTTAGGCGAGGTTTAAGTAGGGCTTATGGCCAGGTATTTACACGAGATCCCGAACCTTAAAACATATAAATATGACTTAATTTTCTTTTATTCCAATAAGACACACTTCCGATGTAAGAAATATGAGACTTGAGTGTTGGCAGGGACTTAGACATGTTTCTATTTTTGCATACCTTCAAATCCTTTCTGACTTAGGGTGACCTTACTATAGGGTTTTCTGAGACAGAGAATGTTTCCTGGCTGAGTGAGCATTCAAACCTTGTTCTTGCGGCATAGTCCAGCACTCAGACCATGATACTTTACAACAGTATTTCTCAATCTTCCTAATGTCACGACCCCTTAATACAGCTCCTTATGTTGTGGTGACCCCCAAACATAAAGTTATTTTCGTTGCTACTTCACAACTGTAATTTTGCTACTGTTATGAATCGTCATGTAAATATCTGATATGCAGGATGCCTCTGAGGATGCTTGCCATAGATGCAGGCGAAACGTCAGGAGAAATGCCTCTAGAACATGGCCCTATAACCCGAAAAAACCTACAAGAACATAGCATGTATTTTCATTCACTGGACCAAATTTGGCACAAATACTCAATATGCCCAAATTTGAATACTGGTAGGGTTGGCGGGGGGGGGGGGGGGGGATTTTGTCATTTGGGAGTTGTTGCTGGGATTTATAGTTCACCTACAATCAAGGAGCATTCTGAAATCCACAATGATGGAATTGAACCAAACTTGGCACACAGAACTCCCATGACCAACAGAAAATACTGGAAGTGGTTTGGTGGGCATTGAGCTTGAGTTTTGGAGTTGTAGTTCACCTACATCCAGAGAGCACTGGACTCAAACAATGATGGATCTGGACCAAACTTGGCAAATACTCAATATGCCCAAATGTGAACACTGGTGGAGTTTGGGGGAAATAGATCTTGCATTTGGGAGTTGTAGTTGCTGGGATTTATAGTTCACCTACAATCAAAGAACATTCTGAACCCCACCAATGATAGAATTGGGCCAAACTTCCCACATAGTTTTCTGATGGTCTTTGGTGACCCTCTGATCCCCCCCCCAAGATCCCCACAGGGGTCCTGACCCCTGGGTTGAGAAACACTGCTTTACAATAATCTCCATCCTGTTTATCTGAATTTAATTTGTGCCCCATCCTCAAATCAGCAACCGATGATCAATCTGTCTTCTGCATGATAGTTTGAAAAAAAGTCAGTTTCATTTTTGAATATCTCGCTGATCTAAGCATATTTATCAAAAAAGCAAATCATTTTTCTGTGGGCGACTTTAACCTAGTCAGTATATTAAAAACAAACAGGGGAGTAGATAACCTTCAAACTGAAATCCAAAAAAACCTTCAAAGCAAAACAAAACAAAATGTAGCATATTTACTACTGATACATGTCTGCCCCAAGTATAGTAGTTGCAATAATAATATTAGCAATATTAATAATATCAATGGCGGCAGTGGCTCATGGAGGCAAGGAACCCAGCATTTGGATGCTCCAAAATAGGCATGGGCAAACTTGGACTTCAACTCCCACAACTCTTAACAGTCTCAGGCCCTTTCCTTTTCCCCCTCAGTTGCTGAGGTTGTCCATTAGATCCCTGCCTGAAGACTGTTCCTCTCTTGATCTTCCCATTGGAGAAGGAGAAGACAGCTGGCAAATGAAATCCCCTTTGGGTAGCCCCTGACTGACCTTGAGTTTTGGAGTTGTAGTTCACCTACATCCAAAGAGCACTTTGGACACAAACAATGATGGATCTGGACCAAACTTCCAAAGGATGAGAGAATGGGGTTGTCCCTTAGATCCCTGCCTGAGGACTGTTCATCTCTTGATCTTCCCACTTGAGAAGGAGAAGCCCTCTGTCAAATGAAATCCCCTGTGGGGTAGCCCCTGAACTTGAGTCTTCCAAAGGATGGAAGGATGGGGTTGTCCCTTAGATCCCCACCTGAATTCTGTTAATCTCTTGATCTTCTCATTGGGAAGAGAGGAGACAACTAATGTGGACCTTCTTCACCTTCTGTCCTAGCAGGTGGCCAGGTGTGCCGCCCGCCCTTGCTGCACAGTTCCCTCCCTTGGCTGGATGGGAGCAAAGCCCTGGGAAGCCACCACCACGGCACCTCCCCATGGAACCTGAGCCCCTTCTCCAAGACCCCCATCCACCACGGCTCGCCTGGACCCCTCTCCGTCTACCCTCCGGCTTCCTCCTCCTCTTTGTCGGCAGGCCACTCCAGCCCACACCTCTTCACCTTCCCGCCGACCCCTCCCAAAGATGTCTCCCCGGATCCCTCCATCTCCACTCCGGGTTCCACGGGATCCAGTCGGCAAGAGGAGAAGGAGTGCATAAAGTACCAGGTGTCTTTGGCCGACACCATGAAGCTGGAGTCTTCTCATTCCCGGAGCAGCATGGCTTCGCTAGGAGCCGCCTCTTCCTCAGCTCATCACCCCATCACCACCTACCCATCCTACGTTCCTGAATATGGCTCTGGACTTTTCCCTCCTAGCAGCCTCCTAGGGGGATCTCCGACTGGCTTCGGGTGCAAATCCAGGCCCAAAGCACGTTCCAGCACAGGTAGGGGTCCTTAATGGATTCTTCATTATTTTCCTTTGGAAATGAGTCAACTCTAGGATGTGAGCAAAAGAGGTCTGGAGGGGGATAATTTGGTTGAGCGGCTGGGTTTTGAGTGGAAATCCAGGCCAAAAGCATGCTTGGCCCAGCTAGGGTGCTATACGGATTATTAGAAAAAGCAAAGAGAAAGGCATGTTTTCTTTTCCAACAGGGATCAAACTCAATAATACAAAGGCCACCAAGAAATCAAAGAGAGGGCACAGAATCTTTCCGCTCAAAATACAGGGACAATGAGTTCCACAGTGCCGATTTTATTCTAGCTCTGCCATTTAGAAAGAACTGAACAAGCTTAGAGAGGCTCCACTTGGTCTCCCACACTGACACGGTACAGCCCCAGGGGCTTAGCCTGAACAATATTAGAGTATCCAGTGATCCCAGGCTATTTACCAGAGCTTCACAGTCCCTTCCCAGTCCTTTCCATTTATACTTGCTGATTTTCAAAGAGAGGAACTGGAGGAAATGATGTGTGCGTTCTCCCAGTGAAGAGAACGAGAGATGTTTTGCAAAGATCCAGGAAATGGAAAGAGGTGGAAGATTGTGAATAATTTGGGGGTACCTGCACAAGATTTACACTTGCTACTCACTGTGGGGAGGGAGACTTGGGCCCTTCCACACAGCTGAATAAAATCCCACATTTTCTGCTTTGAACTGGAATATATGGCAGTGTGGACTCAGATAACCCAGTTCAAAGCAGATATTGTGGGATTTTCTGCCTTGATATTCTGGATTATATGGCTGTGTGGAAGGCCATATAATAAGGAAACTTGGGGATCCCCATCCACACATCTCAATACTCAATGTTGGTTTTCATGTCCTCTTGGTGTTACCTTCTTGTATTTATTACATTAGTTGCTTTGTGTGTGTTTGTGTGAGCACATAGGAAGTGGTTGATAATTTTTGCTCATTAGATTACCTTCTTGTAGAATTTAACTCCCTTAATTTCAGCTGAATTCTCAGTTTAAGTGCATAACTTCCAACTTTCCATATATGCCAGAGGGAATCCCAATTAACCCTGTGCTGTTTCACTTTTTCAATTGCTTTTGAAGCGTCCCAGCTTCTTTCTCATCCTCCCATTTACCCCCTTTGCTCACAACTTACTTCAATTAGGTAAAGGTTTCCCCTGACATTAAGTCTAGTCATGTATGACTCAAGGAGGTGGTGCTCATCTCCATTTCGAAGCCAAAGAGCCAGTGTTGTCCATAGATGCCTCCAAGGTTATGTGGCCAGCATGACTGCATGGAATGCTGTTACCTTTCTGTGAAAGCGGTACCTATTGATCTATTCACATTTGCATGTTAGGTTGGCAAAAGCTGGGACTAACAGTGGGAGTTCACCCTGCTCCACGGATTTGAACCGCCAACCTTTTGGTCAGCAAGTTCAGCGGCTCAGCAGTTTAACCTGCTGTGTTACCATGGGCTCCAATTAATATAAGCTAAATCCAAAGTCAAAAAGTAGTTTTCAATTTGTAACTTGGTCGCGGGAGAAGGGCGGAAGGAGCAGAATCTTCTCCTTCCCAAAAGGTTCAGGCCAAAGCAAACTGTTGCAGCCTCTTCTTAGTTGCCTATTTTTCCTCATTTACAACTTTTGCCTTTTTGACCATATTCTGATGTCACTTGGCCACCCGTGTCCCAGTTTTCATTTGTGAAATGAAATGTCGAAGGGTTCATCCGTGTACTTGGAAACCTTGTTCAAACTGACTGACAGCTCTGATGGATGACGCAGGTTGTCCTACAAGTTTACAAAGTCTCGTAACTTGATTCTGAACATGTTTGCTCGGGAGGAAGGCAGAAAAGCAGGCCTTGTGGGTTGGAGATGATTATTTTTTTTTTACTTTTGAGAAATGGTTTTTACAGGGTGGCACAGCTGTGACCTCGAACATGGCTGCGATTTCATGGGAGCTTAACTCTTAAGTGGGCATTGGCTTAAGCCACCATTGCAAAGCTACATATGGGGAGGAACGTGAAATTAATTGGGAGTTTGGTCTATGTAAAGGCACCGGACAAAGGTTTTGCGTTTCTCCTTTTTATTACTGCCTATCCAAATTTGCTCTCTCAGGCACACACACACACACATGGCCCTACTTTGCTCTCAGAAAGTTTTGGAAAAGGTGGTCCTCATTAGCCGTGTTTTCCATATCCTATAGGTCACTCCCTTCCTTTCCAATTTTATTTTGCCTCTTGGGAGATGGGAGCAGAGAGTTGAATCAAATTTAACTTTAAACATCACCTCCAGGCCCCTCTTGCCCCACACATTCAACAAGCAGGGCAACCTTGAAGTTCACAAGGTGGGGTGGAGAGGAAAGCGGTATCAAATTCCATATAGACAAATCTGCGGCATGAATTCACCACACCCTGATGTGGTAAATTCATCTCGCGGAGTGGGGAAAAGTTAGAATTCCAAGAAATGAGAAGTATAGCTTCTATAGTTCCGGGTTTACAAAAATGTGATATAGCCCCATCATACACCATCATGTTTACAAAAATGTGATATAGCCCCATCATACACCATCATGTCTGCCTCCTCTGTTTCATAGATGGCAACAGCTTCTAACATTTGACACATGAAAACTGGGATCGAAGTGGTCAAGCAACATCAGAGTGTGGTCAAAAAATGACAAAGGTTATTAAGTAAATAAATAAAAACTTTGTTTACATCCCGCCACCATCTCCTGGTAGGGAATCGGGGCGGCTGACGAAAGTATTAGTAGTGCAATAAATATACAAAATACAATAAAATGCATATACATGATCATATAAAGCAGTGGTTCTCAACCTGCATAATGCCGCAACCCCTCAATACAGTTCCTCATGTTGTGGTGACCCCCAACCATGACATTATTTTCATTGCTACTTCATAACAGTAATTTTGCTACTGTTATGAATTGTAATGTAAATATATGGTATGCAGGATGAAATTTCATTATCTGGAGCAAATTTTGCGCAAATACCCGATAAGCCCAAATTTGAATACTGGTGGGGTTGATGGGGGATTGATTTTGTCATTTGGGAATTGTAATTGCTGGGATTTATAGTTCAATTACTATTAAAGAGCATACTGAAATCCATCAATGAAATAACTGAGCCAATCTTGGCACTCAGAACTCCCATGACCAACAGAAAATGCTGGAAGGGTTTGGTGGGCATTGACCTTGAGTTCTGGAGTTGTAGTTCACCTACCTCCAGAGAGCAGTGTGGACTCAAATAATGATGGATCTGGACTAAACTTGGCACAAATGCTCAATATGCCCAAATGCGAACACTGGTGGAGTTTGGGGACAATAAACCTTGACATTTGGGAGTTGTAATCGCTGGGATTTATAGTTCACATACAATCAAAGAGCATTCTGAACCCCACCGATGATCGAATTGGGCCAAGCTTCCCACACAGAACCGCCATGACCAACAGAAAATACTGTGTTTTCTGATGGTCTTTGGCGACTTCTCTGACCCCCTCGTGACCCCCTCCCGGGGCCCTGACTCCCACTGATATAAAGGTAACAATGAAAATTAACATAAACATATTTACACGAAACCTCATAAAACCCTCCTAATATGAAATATTTAGGAGCTTGGACAGATTACAGCAGCTTACTATTTATTTATTTATTTATTTATTATTTATTTAGAGCTTTTATAACCCGGTCTTCTCGACCTCCGAAGAGGGACTCAGGCCGGCTAACAGCAGAAAATTCAACACAAATATAGTAAACATAATAGCATCATAATACATTAATACAAAATACATTAAAATACAGATCATACAATATCATACAATTACAAAAGCCAGGTCGTCAGAATAAAATCACAAATTCATCACCATCCGCCAGTGTGGTCAGCCATTATTCACTCGACCATCATTCTGCAAATGCTATATTCCAAAGCCAGGTTTTTACCAGCTTTCTGAAAGTCAGGAGGGAAAAGGCAGATCTAATCTCCAACAGGAGAGAGTTCCAGAGCTGAGGGGCCACCACCAAGAAGGCCCTGTTAGCCGACCTGAGTCCCTCTTCGGAGGTCGAGAAGACTATTGGGAAGGGCAAAATTCTCTCCTTTCTTCATTCCCTGCCACTGAATTAACTGGGTATAAATTACTTTGCAATTGAAGTCAGCTCAGGACAAAGGAGGAAAGCAGGGTGAGGAGCTGGGACATTTTAAAAGCAGCTTGAAAAATGGGATGGCAGAGGATTAAAAGGGACCATCCCTGCCAAATAGAAGCATTTGGATGGTACAGGACACACACATAATAGGAAGCCTCAGTTGACAGCGTGCAACAAATATTCACTTGAAGAGATAGGAATGTTTCAATCACATACATGCATCATTGCTCAGTCACTCTCTGTGCAGGGTTGCCGCCTCTTTAACTCAGTTCCATGGCGCTGTCTTAGCCATGGCTTGAGCCACAAATGCTTGCAGGGAATAATGCTTATGTCCCAACAAAACCTCTCTGGCCTGTTTCTGCAGAACCATTTAAAGGTACAAGAGCAGGTCAAGCCCCTTTATTTCCCAGTCAGCTGGCAATCTGAAAGGATAATTCCCTTGTACAAAAGTAGAGCAGATTCCTCAGGTGTTTGCTGTCTGCAGTACATCCCGGGATTTATTTAGGGATTCAAAAACAGCAGCTTTAACTTGAATTGACCTGACAGGTTGAACTTTAACCTTGACTCTTCCCTACCCTTTTTGTCATCTTATAGTTCTTTCCCCAGTTGATGATCTATTATAAACAGGGCAACAAAACCACAACACACTTTTAGTTTTCTAAACCGCATTGAGTCGCCTGTTAAGGGCTGAAAAATGCGGTATAGAAATGAAGCAAATAAATAAAATAAATAATAAATAAATTTCTCCCCTTCTTGTTTTTGGTGTTTGTTAAGCTCGGAAACGCTATCTTTTTATTCCAGGGACTTGAATTTTTCTGGAGAGCCAATTCAATGGGTGTATGTGTGTGTG